CCCCCACCCCCCACCCCGCCAAGAACAGGACAAGAGAAATCTGTCCAGGACTGCTACATAAACAAACACAGCCCCTCAGCCAGCCCAGGTTACACCTCACTCTAAGCAGTCCTTAGTCACAGCAATTTGCAGTCCATCAGGTGTTCCCAGTGGCCTCCCCAAATCAAGGGGGCTGTTGTAAGTAAACCAGCTTAAGCAACTTCAGCCTAAATTTGGGGGTGGTGTCTAGTAAAAACTCAAGCAGATTGTCTTCTCCCTAAATTTTTTGGGGTTTGCTCATTCTCAATTATAAAGATGAGCTTTCACATTTAAACACATTTCCCTGTCATGACATATCCTTATATTCTTAGCCTAGTAGTAGGGTAATTTCGTGGCAAGAACACAGTGCTATTGAAGAGTTCAAGTTCGTGGTGTTTTGGGTTTTTTGGTTGTTTGAGTTTATTTTTCATTATTTCCTTCATAATATCAAAACATCTACAACAAATAACAGTGCCAACATAAAGGAACACTCTTATTTAGGCAAGACAAAGAACTAGAGTATCTTGTAGGACTTCACTGTCACCTCTATATGAGGACTTCTAGGTTGAGAGAAGGCTTACATACAACACACCTTTCAGCAAAAGGTCACACTACGAGAGAGAGAATATAAAATAAGCTGAGATGAACATAGTAAATGACAAGACAAAGAAGGTCAACAAACAAGATGCTGCAATCTGTACTGCGGTATAACTCAGCAAGCTCTTCTGGTTTCAGTTCATATAAAAGGATAATATACAGCATATAGCTCAGAGATCCTAATTATATTCATAGACACAAGCATTTAACAACTTGGTCATAGTGCCACAATTCAGAGTTCACCACTTCCATGTATGAGAGAAGACTACAAAACACAATTTTATTTATATTTCACTCACAGTAATTTACAAAAAAATGTAGTACTCGTTCTGTAAGTTTTCCATATTTTTCTGCACTAAGCCTAGTATCAGCTCGGTACTTTCAGTAACTATATGGAGTATATAATGATCTCTTTTATAGGGGCAGCCTGAAAAGTCTCAGCAGCAACACAAGTTACCTACCATACAGCTGTTACAATCTGATTAAGGGGAGATAAAGCTTCAGAAACTTTTTTCTGTAATTGCCAACCAGGTGGTGAAGGACTAACCTGCACCTCAAGTGCAACTACGTATCAGCTACAACCCTCATCACAGCTGGGGACATCTGTTCCAAAGCAGCACAATATGGTCACGCTGCCTGTACAGAGTGCTGGGCTGTAGAGATGTTGGGCACGTGCAAGCTAAAATCACGTCCAACCCATCTGTAGTGCTGCCTTGTTGCCTGAATAGATGGGTCTACTCTAGTCCCATGCAGAACATTAAACTTGTATAAAGCTTGTGCTGTCTGACCTGGCCAAGTGTGGATTTCTTCCATGCAATACAACTACTGAAAAATTGGGGGTATGCACCACTTTGAGGCTTAATGCAATTTCCATGTATCTATATGGTTTAAAAACTATTCCACCGTAGCAATACTGAAACTGCCTTCAGCATAGCACATGCATCTTCCTTTCCTGTTACCCAATAGGGCACTCACGATGTGGAAAGCAACTTTACGTCCTCTTTGCACAACTGTAGAAATTAGCATGGTAACTCTAGAAATAAACTATTTATTCTACAAAACAATTAAGGCTAGATTAAGTCAGTATACAAAATGTTGCAGACAAGGATATGAGACTGTCAAGTTGTTGATGTTCTTTAAATCATGAAAGCACTTTGCAAAAAAAGATGGAGACAGGGAGAGGATTACAACTGCCAAATCTTACATGATGATTCAGCAAAATAAATTCAAATCGAGACACTTTCTTTCAGAAAGTTCACAATTTTATTCCTTTTCTCAAATTGAAGTTTGAAATGAGGCTTTCCAAAATGTACATCTTTCAAGGAGGAAAAAAAAAGGACCAACATTATGTTACTGGCAGAGCAAAGCTGTAAAAGCAGGACAGGAAATACAAGGGGCAGCAAGCAAGACTCAACCGGTAATATCCCAGGCTTATAGCCCTCAGATACTCTATCAAGCACTGTCATAGTACTCAATGCTTGCAGCTTACATCCATAGCCTATTAAACTGTGGATTTCAGCCTCATGCTCTCCTTTGGAAAAAGTAGGTTATTTCTAGTAACACTTCTTCATTTCTCTCTGAATTGTAGGCCTCACCAAAATGAGGGTAGAACTGTACCAGCAGCACAGTCTGAACTACTGTACAAGCAGTACTTTTACTGTTACACTCCCCAGATGCACAAGATTGCTCAGGCACACCATGTCCCGATTCCACAACATTTATTTCACCTCTTCAGAATGGAAACGGGAGAACTTCAAAGAGGAATCAGGCTGCTCATCTGCACACAACTTCATATGCAAATAAGCGTTTTGCGTGCGCTGAAATATTTTCTGCAGTGGTTCTCTAACTGACAATTCTCAGATACTATACAAAGCTCCTAATTTTATATATTAATTTTAAACAAGCCTTACAGGCTCAGAGCTTTAATATACTTCATTGAGGTGTAGGTCAAACAAAAATGCTTTTCTTAAACATAACAAATTAGGACTTTTGCTACACAGTATAGGGTGGGGTTTGTTTATTTTTCAATGTTTGTCATGTATTTCCATGCTTACAAAAGCACTGACAATTAAACTGAAGCAACAGTTAAAATTTAAATGCTATCTACTCCTTAGACCATCCCCCGCAACAAACCCCCAGGATATTTCAGAATGCTTTTATGGTTTGTCTGTTTCATCATCAACTCCACCAAGTCTAGCAAGAGAAGATGTGAAAGCAAACCAGGCAGGAGCCCACTAACCCTGTTTCTGCAGGATCAGCATACATTGTTATAAGATCACCAGCACCCCATTGATACTATCACTTCCAAAAATAAAAGGACAACTGTCAAAAAATGGTGCAATACAAGCAATGAGCAAGTGTATGACATGCTCTGAAGCATGACAATAAGTTAAAGTATCAGTAGACAAGTTTTCAGTTAGTTTCTGATATATTGCTCTGTTCTGGTCTGAAGTTATACTGCTATACTGCCTTTTGACGAAGGAGGTTTAAAATGCTGTGTGAAACTCCAATTTCTCTTCACTTACTACTGATTTTTAAATACCCATTTATCTTATAATTGTATTTACACTATTATTCCAAAGAAATGCAGACGTGATTTTTAAAGAAGTAATTCAAATTTAAGATAAAGGATTTAGCTCTTGGTTCAATGACACTATCCATACCTGCCACCTCCAGAAACAATAGTACTTATAGACCTAGAGCTTTGTGCAGAGTCCTCTCACAATCACCTTTTACAATATTTGCTTAGAAGTCCTACAATTATGAAATAAAGGACACATATAAAACATTAACAGCCAATTTTCATTAATACAAAAATACATATTATAGCACACATCTGTATTATTTTATAAATACTGTACATATTGTAGCAGCAGCAACCACATTAAAAATATTAACCTGCTAACACAGGGCATTAAACACCTAAGACAGCACTCCTGTATGCCCAGCAGGCTCAGTACTGATAAGGCCCTGCACATCAGCAGCTAAAAGTAAACTGTGGCAAGATGCACCGACACACCTTCACCAGACAGCCCAAGTGCCTGCGCACAAGAAGCCACACACTGGAGAGTTGATAAGGAAACAAAGCACATATGGGTGTGTATTCCCACAATAGGTCTCCAGTCTTAAAGTTAGTGAAAATTTACGCTTTGAGGTCACCAAACCCTAAATTTCCCCTCCACTCCTCCAAAAGTGAGTAGAGCCTCCAAAATGTAATAAAGCACCTTGATTATAGAAAAATTAATCTTCCAACTATAATCATATTTAAAACTGAAATTCATTAAAATGCAGTATTTAAGATATATTTCTTTCAGGTTCTTAATCTCAAAATCAGCATGCTACTACAAAACTCTGTTCATGTTTCATTCATGCTGCTAATGCTTCCACTCCAGTCTCCCATAGAACATTAAAGCATCAAAATATCTAAGCAAGGAGACAGCCTTCTAAAAAAGGTAACTGTCTTTCTACATCAACTATTCCTAACCTATCACATGACATTAATAAACTGGTCACTATGCAAACAAGAATACTAAACCAAAAGACAGTAATCATCTTGCATATTTGAGTAATTTAGATGAAAAAAAGTGACAAGCCCTTAAAAGGAATTGGTGATTTCCACT